AGATTGAGGGATGGATTTTTCCAATTAAGATAACCATTTATTACTTGCTACCAAATGTTTAGCCAGAGACATCGTAATGTTCTAGTGTCTTCTATTCTACTTTTGAGTATACTGGTTTTACACTTGTGTTACTCCACATAACGTGATGGTGAGTCTTCTCATTAACATTAGTATAAATGAAAGTAGAACAGCTGATCTTTTAAAATAGCTAGGTATGTGATGGTTATGCTATTATTTAGAGGCACTGGGTGATGGATATGCTTTAAATGCCTTGGCTAACTGTAATGCTTCAAATTAAAACAAATACTAGTGATACCATGGCAAGAGTGTAAAAGAACAGGCAATTAATCCTGATGTAGTCCTTAAAACCCCCTTGTTTTCTGTGATTCTGATCAGCTGAGAGTCTCTCTTCTGAATTGAAACATCCGATTTGACTGGACAGAATAAAAAGATTAAAATGAGACATTTATTGCACAATGTAAGTGTAGTCATTTTATACATGGAAGCATACACATTAAATTTAAAGTTGTCACTTCAAAGATGGAAGATTTATTTCCAAAACTACATGGGAAGTAACTGCCAGATAACATCTAGGAATGCCATTAGATTGTGGATGACAGTTCCATTTTGTGTCAAACTGACATACTATCTTCATTAAGTCTCTTTGCCTGGATATTTTCATGAATGGGTTAACAGCAGTCATGTGCATATTTTCTTAGTTCTGTGCATGGAACAATTACCAATGTGCACAGCTGTGACAAGCTGAATCCGAGTAGGACAAATGCTGAGATCAGTGTTAGAGTTTTTTCCAGGTACAGAGATGGTTTTAGTGCCAAGACTCTGAATTTCTGGACTGTAATTTTACCTCTCAAATTCTGATTACTTGTTTTTTATGCCTGTGGTTTATGACATCACTAGAAGAGCCTTAATAGTTAGTTTTGTAAAGCTTTACTATCTAAAAGAGGAAGGAAAGATACTTCTTTTTTTTTTTTTCTTTAAGACTCCCTTACAAAATACTCTGTGACAAAGAGAAGGATATTTTAAGGGATGTGTATTATGTGCTTGTATTGCCTACCTGTGAAGAAAAATATTGATTTAAGGTGCATTTTGTGTAGTGGTGTTATCCATCATAATAAATATGCAGCATGGAGCAATGCTTTGACCAGAGAGACTTTTGAAGTGCATTCCCTTAGTGTGCCACTAATTATGCCCATTTTCTGTAGCCTACAAGTAAGTAATAAGTCTACTTTGTGGTTTTTAAATCTGGGTCTAATGGTTCCTACAGAAAACACCAAGTAATTCTTTGCAGACTACCTCTCCTTAATGATGCTAGCAGAAGGGGCAAATTGATAAAAGTTATTTATGTTGCTTTTCAATGATGAGCATACAACAGCTGTCATTATAGCAATGGCTATTACTGTCCTGTTGCATCAGGTTTGAATCTTGGGATTTGACCTCAGTAGCAATTTTAGATTGTAAACTTTTCTCAAAGGCTGACTACAAAACATAACTGTCTGCTATGTTATTTCTTCAGTTTGACAGCTGAAGTCCTCTCTTGACCCACACGATGCTTTCAAGTCATAGAGAATTTCCAGTGCATCCTGTAATAATTCTGCCTCAGATACCAACCAGTGAACAGTTGTGTCAGGCGAAGGGAATGCTGCCTACAGAGGGTTATTTTGCAATCTTTCTATGGTGCTGAAGCTCCACCTACTCTGTGAAATGCCTTTACAGTTAAATCTCTAGATTACTTGTTCTTGTATTTGCATAGTAGAAGTAGCATTAATTTACCATTGCTGCTGTTTTTAAACCTGGGAGTAAACTTGGTCCAAATTGCCTGCTCATTTTTGTGCAAACTACCCAATGAAGTCAATAACTGAAACTTGTTTCAATTATTATTTGTGTGATATGCCATTTTTAATTTATAGATTAAGGAAAAGAAATGCATGCACATGGCCCATACACATCTGTTAATAGCAAAAAAAAAGGGGGGGGCTGGGGGAGATGTTTCAGATAATGTAGTTCATGTTTTTGGAATGCTGCTACAAGTGAAATGGTGCCCCTTGCTTCTCCTATACTCTGCTTTGTCACAGATTTGAAGAGGGATTGGGATGTTTATTACACTGACTTCTACGTGAGTACTTTCTTTTACTTACCCTGAGGATTACTGGATGAAGGATTACTCAATAGAAATGAAGATATACTGTATCTCTAATACAAACTACTCAGTATATAATAATTCATGCTATTAGTTCTATGTAACAATCTTTCTTCACATATCTTTTTGTTCCAATGTTATGCAATGTCAGCTTTTAGGGAAAAGAGTTGCTTTAGATTGAATGTTCTGTGTGAGACTATAGTTCAACACATACAAATACTGTTTTGCAAGTATTTTGCTGTATTGCTGAGATGATGACAGCTTTCATAGGAAAGTCTGCTTATAAAAATGGACAGTTGCATCTTATGAGTTAGTGTTATAGCTCCTTGTTCAATATATAATGACCTGTGCACTCCCAGATCTCTTATTATGAATGCTATAAGTGTAATTTTTACAAGGTAGCTGTCTATCTGGATGTTCTTTGTAGTGAATGGAAAGAAATAGACACTTGTGTAAGGCCTCTGGGAACCAGAACTAATTCTACAAACTACTTCTGACAGTACTAATAACAGTATGCCATCCCAGTCTCTTTTCTCTGTAGGAAGTGATTGGACACTAATCTGGCTGAATGCAAAATAGTTTATTTAACTGCTCATTATAGAGACTCAGAAATTCTCTAGTGCTGGAAATCCAGCTGGTGGAGACAGTATAAAATAAGACCACATCTCATGAAACCATGTTTTGTTATCTTTGGGGGGGTTACTTTTTTCTGGGACAAGCTCATTGAGAAAGTTGATGGCAGAGAGGAGGGGAGACCCAAGGAGAAAGCAGATGGCTCACAAGTATGTTTATCCACATTTGTCAACCAGCAGTTGAAAGGATGGAGAAACAAGGTGGGAGTCTCGCAAGATGTTCTGGTTTGATGGATGATAAGAGATCCTGCCTCTCTCATACAGCCGCTAGTTGATTTAATCTGCTGAAGTTGTGTGATAACAGATGCAATCTTACTTTTCCTCTTATCATAAAGAGTACACTACCTAATGTGTTCAGAAAGTAGCTATTTTCAGGATAAAGGATATTTTTTCTTCTGAGGGTTATCACAAACAAATACTCTTAGTGAGAGGCTGGGTTTCTATTCCAAAAATGTCTGAGCTGAGCATCTGCATGACCTGCAAAACCTGAATTTAATACTGGCATCTTCCTGGATGAGTGACCTTATGTTGGGGGTGAAGGGGAAATACACAGTCCAAGAATGTTTGTCTGCAGAATAGTGGAGCCTGGTGTGAACTGGGAGAGGAGGGAGTCAAGTAATGGCCCATGGCATGGTTGAGCAAGGTTGCTCTCTGCAGATAATCAATCCAGTATGAGGCTAGGTAGACCAAAGGAGCAGAGAAGGCATGTTTTCAATCACAGTGCAATAAGCAATTTTGTTGTTTCTTTCAGAGAAAGGTTTTTATAAAATGAAAAGGGGGAAGGGATTGCTCAAGCAGAAAAGTATAAAAGAATATGATCTGCCCTGGAATGATCCTTGGGATCACTAACAGCAAAATACCGGAATGGACTGACTGAATTATAATATTATTGAAATATTGGTGTCAAATTGTGTTCAAAGGGTATTGTCGGTTTACCTAAGCAATCTATTCTCTGCCTAAATGGTTTCTACCTGGCAGTTTTCTCCTAAAATGTCTCTCATTAGCAGTCCTTATGTGTTCACAACTACTCTAGGCATTTTTAATTTCATTTTAAACAGCAACTACAATTAGCCAACTAAGCCAAATTATTTTGCATATTATGACAGAAGTCTACTTCAGTTTAAGTGCTTTTTTCTAATACCAATGAAATGAAAACATAAACTGTAGGCTACACCTGAATGAAATAAAAGCTTAAATTTTATTGTTTTTTCCTAAGAACGTTCTCCCCCTTAAAGCAGAGATCCCAAAGCAAGTAAATACTATGCTCAAGTAATGATGGCTCTTTGAAATCCCTGTAGTTTAGGAAGCTGCTGGAGGACCACTGTTAAGACATGATAGTCTGACAAAGACAGGCTTTGTTGACTGTAATGTAAATCTAATTCAAAATGGACTTCCACCATTATCTTTTTCTGTAAACCCTCAATTGAATTCACATGATCCTTGATACTACAGCTGAGTGTCCACTGCCTCTCAGATCTTGAAGAGTCGCTGCTGTGGGTGTTGGTGTAGGTAAGTTTAACTTCAAGATACCCTGTATATGTGCACAAACATGGAACCCATTAGAACAGCTTTGGTGTACTGTCTGTGTGAGCTGGGGGTACTTGGAGGGAGCCAAGTGAAGGGAGGCCTAGCAGAAATGGTTCAAAAGGTGGGCATCCTCCTTCCTTCACCCGGCATTCCTACACCCACAGCTCTGTACTGGCGTTTGCCACAAGTGAGATGGCAAAACTGTGCCAACTCCTGAGGCTAGAACCGTGAGAACTCTTGGCTCTGTGCCTTCTGAGCAGGCTCTGGTCAGCACCCTAATGCAAAAGTGGAACAAAAGCCCGCACAAAGTGTAGGGGATTAACAAAATGTCCTTTTCTTGCTGTCTTGGTTCCCCACCTGCCTTCCTGCAGCTACTTCCTTATGAATATGCAGGCCAGACCGGGAGAAAATCAAATCCTTGCACTGATCAATTTCTCCTGTATGGCAGTAAGTCACCCCCTAAGGGACCACCGCCGCCGCCCTGCCCCGAGCCTCAGCGCGCAAGAGCCCGGGAGCCTCCTCCGCGGGTCGGGCGCCGGCTCCATGATCCGCACCGCATTTCGCAGGGGACCGGCAGCGCCCCTCGGATCTCCAGATCCTCTCTCCGCGGGCTGCGCTGGACTATTTGAGGCGGGCGCGGGTGGAAGAACACGGCGGTGCCAGCTGCCGCGCGAGGCCGGCGGCGCAGGGATCCGGGCCGCGGTGCTGAGGCCGCCTGTCAGTCAGTGCGGCGGCGCCGGGACGCGGCCGGAGCGCAGCCGGCAGAAGGCGGTGTAGGGAGCGCGCGGTAACGGAGACGGAGCGCGGCCGGCAGCGGGAGGAGCGGCGAGGGAAGGCGAGAGGGGAAAAAGGGAAAATAAACGTAAAAGAAGCGAGCTGCGTTTCTTCCGAACTGCAGGAAAAGGCTATTTCACGACCGGCTCCCTGTCCCCTCGGTCGGCTGCGATGCTGCTAGCCACCGTGTTGCCCTGGACGTTGGTTTTGCTTGGAACCGCAGGTACGCCGGGGTGGTGGGGAGCTGCTGGGGTCTGGGGCGGGGTAGTGCCGGGACCCGGCCGCGCAAACAATGGGGTCGGGCGGACACCGCCACCACTGCCCTGCTTTACGCTGTTGCTGGGTTTGGCAGGGAGACAGCCTGTGGTGGGGTCCCCCCCCCATCCGCACCCGGTGTGCGTGATGGGGCGGCTGGTTCGCGCACATTGTTGGCTGTCGTGGGAACGGGAGGGGCAAGATGGCTCGGGCTGTGCGAATTTGACAGAAGAACGCGGAGGGGGGAGAAGGAGGAGGATAGGTGAGAAGGGTGTGAGCGAGCGGTTTCTTCTGCTCTCTGGCGCTGCTGTCCACGGGTGCGACGGGGGGAATCGCTCCCGCAGCAGGAACCCGCCTCCCCCTGGCTGGGCTTTTGATGTGAAGTAAATCCCAGACAATGGGGATGGGGAATGAGGACGCGAGCGAAGCAGAGAGGATGCTACGTGCGCTGTGTTAATGGTGTCACCGTGCGAGGAGGCGGTGGATTTTCCTTGTCGCGTCGGCTTTCATTGTGAACCTTGAGGATGCTACTGTGCTACGCGGCGGTGTCCGCCTCCGCCGCCGCCCATCCGCCCTCCTTCTTGCAAGCGGTGCATGTGCGGGGCAGAGATTGCAGCGGGCGCGGGGAGGGGAGAGATGCGATCGCAATTAGAGGCGGGGGCTGGAGCAACTGTAAGAAAGCAGGCAGAAAAGCGGAGGGGAGCCGTGACGGGAGGGTGCCGGCAGAGGGCCGGTGCTGTTAAGGGAGCGGGCGGTCCCGAGCGGGAGCGGCGCTCGGGTCGCTGTCGTTGGTGAAGGCCCGTTGCCGGCCCCGCCTTGCCCCAGGAGACGGCAGGTTGGTTGGGTGCGGTTACGGCCACACCTGTGTTGACGCCGCCCCCTCTGCCAGCGAGACCGCGTTCCTGTCGCCATCCTTCAGCGAGCCTCGTCGCCCCAAGCTCCTTGTCCTTAACGCACACCCACTAGGAAGTGTTCCCCAGAGCCTTCTGTGCCCACTCTTGGCTATATGAGTGTTTTCTCCCTGTCCTGTTCTACAGCTCGTCAAATACTCTTTCCACTCCCCTCTCCTCCCCCCCCTCCCTTGGCAAGCATCGTGGCCTGAAGCACCCACACTGATTGTCCCTGCTATCTTTACCTCAGAACTGTCATTGCCTTTACTACTTACAGTCTTTTCTCAGCTCATGGTTTCATGACTACTTACCAATTACTGCTGTTGCTCTCTCAGAAAATCTTGCTCTCCAGATCCCTGCTATCACCGGGTAGCTCTTGTACCCATTTCTATGTCCTTGCAATGTACCCCAGTGCATCACCCCGGTTATTCCTTCCCATCATTGCTGTTTCAGACCTCACTGCACAGCTTCTTTTCACCCCTTGCTTCAGTGCTGTCCTTAACTACCACAACCACTCACTGCCTCATTCCCACACTGGCGATTCTTTATCTCCTTAAGCAGTTAGTTCTGCTGTAGCTCTGCCTGCTCATATAGTAAGAATTACTATCTTCTTGTGGCTTAATTCCAGCTCCTGTCATGGCGGACCACTGCCACCAGTGTTCTCAAGTCTGTTGCCAAAATCAAGCCACCTGTTTAACATCAGCCCCAAAACTGCTCTTAATGATACACAACTCTCCTGTGTAATAAGCGTTACTGTATAGCTTCTCTTTGTTATAATTTAAACCTTTATGTTATATATAGGCTATAAATTACAAACTGGGGGTGTGTTGTCTTTCCATTTTTAGCACAGTTCCTCCCGGTAGCCAGCTCTGCATCTGGCTCAGCCACACCCTTCAATCACCATCTCTGCATACATTCTTGATCTCAAGCATTATAAAATGCCAGACTACTATATGTGATTCTGTAGCTATTGCCTCTCTTGACACATTCACACAGGCTTTCTCAGCTGTGGGAGGGGAGAATAAAGCATTTCTTTTTTTTCAGGGCAAGTAGATGGGAGTAAGCAAAGAAAAATTATCTGCATCTCATCTGTTGCCCCACTCAAATACATGTTTATCCAATAATAATAATTACAAATGCATAGAGTGCCTAGGGAGTTGCACAGCTGGAACCGGACTGAGAAATCAGCATAAAATGGAGAACACAAAAACCAAATAAAATATTAAAAAGCTAGAACAAAGCATCAGCACTGTTTATGGTAAAAACAGCACCCAACACATCAGTTATGCTTTACACTCTAAAGGATGCTTTGGTCTGCTAAAGCTTGTCCCTTCTTTTTTTACCAGCTGACCTCACCACAATCTGTGGTGGGAGAAGAAAGGTTATTGCTTTGGGCTTTGGAAGCTATGATATTGAAAGAGATGTCAGTGAAAGGGGGGGAGCAGCTATGATGATGCTAATAAAGAAACCCTAACTACAGCTTTATAGTAGCTTAAATGTAAGAGGAGGAAAGAGATAGATGCTTATTAGGGAGGAATCCCTGAAGAGACTGTTGTCTGAGCCACGGTTATGTGGTAGATTCAGAACAAAATGATGCCTTTACATCTTTTAAAATAATTCCACATTTTGTACACATTTTGGCCTGTGATAGTGATGATTTATTTAATCTACTACTCAAAACTTTTTTTTTAATAATTTACAAGCTGATTTATAGGTGGCTCCCCTTCTTTCATTTACATCCTGAGAAGTATGGTTTCCTAAATAACAGAGTATTTTGTATAAATTTTATCCTCTTGATGTTTGAACTCGGAAAGGCCTGGCTTAACTGTTCAATTTTGGGAATGGTGTGGTTTTGGTTTTGGGTTTCTTTTTTTGTTTGTTTTTTAAGTGTATTAGCTATAACAGTAATTTACTGAATACCCTGGTTTTGAGTGTTAAAGATTGTGGCTGCTGTCCAGGATGAAAGCGCCTTCACTTTTTATGGCTCATCTCCAGAAATGTGTTTTAATGATAGACTTTTCTGCCACTGGATATAAGTGACTGGTTTCTTGTTGATAGGAAATGCATGGTGTGGGATTTTTTTTTTTTTGGTTGTTTTTTTTTCGGCGCGGTGTATGTGTTTGGTTGTTTTGTTGTTTCAGGGTTTTTTTTGGGGGGTAGGGCTATAGAATTATTTTGACTTGCTGGCAGGAAAGCAGAACCAATTGATGGGGGAGGAGGAGGGAATAGTGCATCTGCTGCCATCAGTCTGCGAGGAACAGAAAAATAGCTCTAGTAAGAGACAAAAGCACATTTTATTTTGCCATTTAAAAGGCCATCCTGCATTTTAACTCATTATTTAACACACCTGATGATACTGTTTATATAGAGAACACAAAATTCTTTTACTGTTTTTCTTACATGGCTTTTGAAGCATTGGTTTAGCACGGGAGTATATTTAAATGTGATTTGATCTATCAATAATAATTCTGTTGTACACTTTACTCACCAGTTGCAAATAGTAAGATATTATGAACTTCCAGAAATGCCTTGTAAGCAGACTGGGAGAAGTGATCTTCTTCAGAAGTGTGTATCGTAGCTTTTGTGCAGGGAACTATCAGAAAGAATTCAACTAGGTGCCATTACAGTATTTTTCAGGTGCAGTAAAAAGATGGTGTCTTTGTTGTTTTCCCAATTCTGTATGTTCACAGTGATCTGAAATGTGAGATTAAATAAGTAAAGCAATGTAATCGTAAATCTAAAAGTTTGAAAACATTCAGGAAACAGAATTGTTTCTTACAATAGCTTTATAAAGCAAGGAGAATGCTTGGGAGTGACTTGAATGAGGGTGTGTCTGTAAAGAGAACTACAGCTCCCAGGCATCTTCACTTTCCTGAGTGGTGTACTTTGCGCATGTTTTCATAGGACTGATGTGTCGGTTATCATCGCAACACTCAAGGCCTGAAGGGAAAAAAGAGCCACCAGGCAAATAGACTTTGAGACATAAAAATCACAGAAGCAAATTTGAAGGTCAGATCTATGATGGCTCTGGCTTCTTTTGTTTAGGAAAACACATTACCATCGTTTAAAGCCCTTGCTAATGCAAAGGGATGTAAATTAGGTGGGTTTGGCGGTAGTGCCATTATGCCCTTTCAGTTCATGGTGTTGAAATGCAGCTTCCCCACTGCAGCTGCTCATTAGGAACGTTGCCTTTTGAAGTTACCGTGAGAGCCAAATGGCAGGCTGTCAGGCCCTTCTGATAGATTGCGTTTATAAATGTTTGAGGCAGTCACTACTAAGTACCAGAAGAAGGTTTTTCTGTGGTTTTTAGTTTACGATATAGGTACCTCAAGAAAGTGGAATAGATAAAAATCAAGGATCAACTTCACATTGAAATATTTCTTTTTCCACTTCCAGTTCAAGTCCAGGAGCTTCCCCTGTATCTGTCCAAGATGATGATAAGGCAGATAATTGCTGTCCATACAGTGAATAATACCTGTAGCTTCTAGACTTTCCAAGGATAAATGAAAGAAAAGCTTGTGCCAAAACATGTTGAGGTGTACAGTGTAGATGACTGTGTATTTGCAAATGATCAAGGCTACCTGACAGTTTCTGTTACAGCTTTTTTTGGACCTCACTGTATGCTTTTGCATCTGAAGTTTTCATTTTATCTCAAGTGAAGTATGCAGGTACTTCAGCAAAACTATTAATAGTTTGGACAAATGTAGAACATCAATAGCCTTAGTCCTGATAACTTCAGATCTTTAGGCAGCTGTTGATGGCAAAGCTAATTTTTGGAGAACAGCTAACAATGGAAGGTTTATCCTGCTAAGCAAGTGCAAATTGCTTTAAGATACTGGAGTCTCTCAAGAAGCAGCAGCTGTGAGTATATTCACATAGTACCGTGCTTAATAGCTGGATGAGTTATCCAAATTCTTAAGCCATCACACTTTAAAAGTGACAGTATGGATATCCAGTAATCATTTAGACCTGTATATTCGCAGAAGAAACAAGGAAGCCATGTTATGTTTGACGAAAATAACATGCTTGCACCTGAAGATAAATACATCTCAACTTTCTCCTCTATGGTCAAAATGAG